AACATAGCCTTCATGGCATTTTCTTAGTTATCGTGTTAAGACATTTATATTCTGCATTTAGAAAGATTCACATGTACCCTTGTAAGGTGGACCATAGATGTGGTCCCACCAATCACCCTCCCACCACCCATCCTGCCCTCTCCCTCTCCCCCATAGCCATATTCTTGGGCTATAATTGGGCTATAGCTTTCGTATAAAAGCTATAAAGTAGTTTCATAGTAGGGCTGAATACATTGGATACTTTTTCTTCCATTCCTGAGATACTTTGCTAAGAAGAATATGTTCTAGCTCCATCCATGTAAACATTAAGGAGGTAAAGTCTCCATCTTTCTTTAAGGCTGCATAATATTCTATGGTATGCATATACCACAATTTATTGATCCATTCGTGGATCGATGGGCACTTGGGCTTCTTCCATGATTTAGCAATTATGAATTGGGCTGCAATAAACATTCTGGCACAAATATCTTTGTTGTAATGTGATTTTTGGTCTTCTAGATATATACCTAGTAGAGGAATTGCAGGATCAAATGGCAGGTCTATTTTTAGTTCTCTAAGTGTTCTCCAAACATCTTTCCAAAAGGGATGAATTAGTTTGCATTCCCACCAGCAGTGTAGAAGTGTTCCCCTTTCTCCACATCCACACCAGCATCTCTGGTTTGGGGATTTTGTGATATGGGCTAATTTTACTGGAGTTAGATGAGATCTCAAAGTAATTTTGATTTGCATTTCTCTGATAATTAATGATAGTGAGCATTTTTTCATATGTCTGTAGACCATGCACCTGTCTTCTTCAGAGAAGTTTCTCTTCAAGTCCATTGCCCACCCTGAGATGGGATCATTTATTCTTTTCTTGCTAATACGCTTGAGTTCTCTGTGGATTCTGGTTATTAAACTTTTGTCAGAGACATAACCTACAAATATCTTCTCCCATTCTGAGGGCTGTCTGCTTGCTTTATTTACTGTGTTTTTGGCTGTGCAGAAGCTTTTTAGTTTGATCAGGTCCCAAAAGTATATTTTTGATGTTGCTTCAATTGCCCAAGGGGTCCTCCTCATAAAATTTTCACCCAGGCTGATTTCTTCGAGTGTTTTCACTACACTTTCTTCTAATACTTTTATAGTTTCATGTCTTAAATTTAAATCTTTAATCCAGTGAAAGTCTATCTTAGTTAATGGTGAAAGGTGTGGGCCCAGTTTCAGTCTTCTACAGGTGGCCAGCCAGTTCACCTAGCACCATTTGTTGAATAGGGAATCTTTTCCCCACTCAGTGTTTTTAATTGGCTTGTCAAAGATCAGATAACGGTAAGTAGCCGGGTTCATCTCTTGGTTCTCTATTCTGTTCCTTGCATCTACCTCTGTTTTTGTGCCAGTACCATGCTGTTTTGATCAGTATCGATTTATAGTATAGTCTGATGTCTGGTAGCGTGATTCCTTCTGCTTTGTTTTTATGTCTGAGTAATATCTTGGCTATTAGAGGTTTTCTTCTGATTCCATATAAAATGAAGTATTATTTTTTCGAGATCTTTAAAGTATGACAGTGGGGCTTTTAATAGGGATTGCATTAAAATTATGTATTGCCTTGGGTAGTTTAACAATGTTAATTCTTCCCAGCCATGAGCATGGTATGTTTTTCCATTTGTTAACATTTTCAGCTATTTCTTTTCTTAGAGTTTCATAGTTCTCTTTATAGAGATCTTTCACATCCTTTGTTAGGTAAACTCCCAAATATTTCATCTTCTTTGGCACTACTGTGAATGGAATAGAGTCCTTTGCTGTTTTTTCAGCTTGACTATTGTTGATATGTATGAAGGCTACCGATTTATGACTGATTTTATAGCCGCTGTATTCCTTCATCACTTCTAAGAGTTTTGCAGTAGAATCTCTGGTGTTTTCCAGATATACAATTATATCATCTGCAAAGAGTGCAGTTTTATGCCTCTTTAGAGAGTAGATTTTCTTAAGTATTGGGAATCACTAGTTTGGAGCAGAATCATAAGTACTACTATTTTTTTTTTTCTTTAACTTGAGGTGATAGAAGAGAAAGTAGTACTATGCAAATAAAGAGTTACAAGTACATTTTTAACAAGACAGCTACTTTATTGGATATATAACTGATTAAGTAATTCTGACAACTGAGAGGTAACCAAGAGCCAGGTAAGGATTAGAATGTTGGAGCAGAGTTGAGGTGTTTTGTTTTTATTTCTTTTTAAAGACTCAGGTCTATGTATTAGTAACAGCAGTAATAGCTGTACTTATACTAGGATTCTAAGATTGATTAAGCATGAATACAGCAGGAGAAATATGTACGGTTACCAAATAGTTAGCTATAGGAAAAAGCAAATATTTTGTTTTTTTCATTTACTAATTTCTCTTTTTCACCTTTCTTAGGATTAGTAGGAGCTGTCCAGTGTCTGTGGGCTGTTTTGTAAAAGCTGGTTCTCCACCGAGTTTATTATGCTGCGTGGAGCATTCGTTATAGTGGTTGTCTGCACTTGGAGTTTTGTGTTACCACTGTGTCTACAGTAGTGTTTGTCACATAGCAATTGCTCAATAAATATTTGTTACATTATTTTCTTGAAAATATAGTCTACCACACCTTTCTTCTGCAATCTTTTTTTAAGATCATTCAGTGGGTTTTTTTCCTCAGATATTATATTTTTCTGACCTAGAATTTCTGATTTTTATATTTTCTTCATCTTTATTAAAACTTTCATATTTTGACTCATAATCATTTTCCTTTACATTCTTGTATATATTAACATTAACATCCTTTAATGTCCTTTTCTCCTAATTCTAAAATCTAGTCCATCTTAGAGTCTGATTGTATTGACTGCATTTTTTTCTTAGTAATAGGTCACATTTTTCTGCTTTGTTTAGTAAATTTTAATTATGTGTTGAATGTCATAGGGATTCTGGATTGTTTGTTCCTTTAAGGGTTCTAAGTTTCAATTTGGCAGGCATTTAAATTAGTTGTTGATCTAGTATTATCATGGTTGGTGTTCTTTGTTAGGGCAGGCCTAATTCAGATTTGTCCTTTGTCCTACTGCATGGTCCTTACTTCTAAGGTGTGACCTTTCTGGAGTCTCAGCTGAATATCTGAAATGCCCAGGCTAAAGTCAAGGAGTGGAGTGTTTTTTTCTTAAGAATCTTAGTTTATTTGCAACACTATAGTATGATATAAAAATAAGTTAGAAATATGCTTATACTACTGAATAACATAATTTTTCATATTAAAGTTCATGAACTCTGTTTTGTTTTTTCCACATCTCACCACATACATATTTTAGGACTTCCAGTAATTTTATTGTAATTTTGGTTACACTATGTATCAATATTGAATTTGTATGTGACTGTAACTATATAAATACTATTCACAGTTAAGCATTGTAGTATATTGGGACTGCTGTATTCCTGTATGTTTTCCCTGGAGTTTTAATTGTCTCTTTTTTCACTGTTGTTAATTTTAATTAATAAACTTACCTTTAATTGTATAAACCTCAACGTACTTGATCATATTTGGTATTATATCCATTTTATCTTCTTTAGAAGCCTTCTGATCTGCCTAATGTGCATTAATTGCTCTCTAGACTCTCTGTATGACTGTTTGAGATGTTCTTTCACCATCATTCTGGGGATTCTCTTTGCCTCTCTTGTGAGTTGAATTCTTCACTTTCTAGAACCTGTTGTCATTTTTCATGGTTTCCCACCTTTGTTTTGGTGGAACACATCTTTCAGTAACTTCAAAAGTGTAATGAAAGCAAAATTATTTGAGATTTTGCCTATTTTAAAATGCCTTTAGTATATACTCACACTTGAATCATCTTGATATAGAATTCTAAAGGGTGAGAATAAGTTTTCCTCAAAATTTTTGCCCTGTTATTTGTTGGCTCCTAGTGTTGCTGTTGAAAAAGGTAATGTCATTTTGCTTATAGATTATTTTTATGAAACCTCTTTCTTCTCAGGCAGCGTTTGGAATCTCTTATTTGCTTCATCGGTACTCAGACATTTCACAAAGATATGCCTCTGTTTGGGTCTGTTTTCATCAATTTTGCTAAATACTAATGCACCCTTTCAGTGTGAAACCATGTTCTTTAGTTTGGGATATTTTTCTTGAATTATATCTTGGATTTATTCTCATGTCTTTGTCTGTGGAATTCCTAATCTTGTGTTGAACATCCTGGACTCAAATTTTTTTTTTAGTCTTTTGTTTTTTATTTGTTCTATTTCTTAGCCTTATAGTCTTCTAATCCTTCTATTGCCTATCTCATAGGATTAAGGATTAAACACATTAATATAAGTGATTAAAACAATGGTTGGCATGGAGTAAGTGATTGTGTTAGCTGTAATTGTTCAGTTTCTTAACTGTCTTGAGGGAAAGGTCTTTGGTCTTGATTGTTTGACTTATTAGTGGTACATGACCTTGGGCAAGTCCTATAATCTCTTTGAGGCCTGCTTTCCTCTTCTGTGAATAAGCTCTACTTCTTAGGTGTTTGTGAAGGTCAAATAAGAATATATATGTGAAAAACTTAACAAACTTTGTATAGAGGTAATAATTAATAGTTAATACTTGCATCTTTAAGTATCAAAATGTCTGATTTGACAGGATTATATTAAGAAGTATTTGCTGTGACTTTCTTGCAAATCTGTGTGAGCTAGGTGAAGTTGAACTAAATGTTAAAGCTGCTTTTTAAAGAAATTATTTCTTTCAATCTAATGTTAGGTTGAAGACAAGATTATGAAAATATTCTGTGAAAAGCTGTGGCTTTACTTCAGATTGTATAAATCTGTGTACTATAATAATTATATGAGAATGACATGATTACCAACCTAAAACCATGGATGATATTTATTTGGATTATTTATTTATTTTTGCTTAAATGGTATTGAGATTAGGAAAAATAGAATCTGTCTTTTGGTTTTTCTCGATAGTATTAATGTAATTTCAAATGTTAGCTCATTTTTGTTAATGGTGGCTTTTTGTTTGTTTGTTTTGTTTTAAGGTTTTTGGATTCAAAGCATAAAAACCATTACAAGATATACAATCTGTAAGTATGTTTTCTTATTTGTATGCTTGCAAATATCTTCTAAAGTAACTATTACTTACAAATATCTTCTAAAGTAACTATTACGTTTAAGTTATTTCCTTGTTAGAATGAGAGTTAAAGGTATACATTTTAACAGAATTGTATTCCTAAAGCAATTAGTTCAAAAAGTCTGATTGAAAAACATTGTCTGATCATTGTAAGAACATTGTTAGATTTAGAAAGTGTAGTGATGAGGTAAAACAATGTTGGCATAGATTCATGTTACTTGATCTGCTTTAAATGACTTGGCATCTAGCCCATCTTTGAGCCTGTAACCATGTGGTAATTTGAAGTGTTATTCACAGGAGAGCTTCTGTTAAAGCATTAATGGCATCTTCCATGGAGGTATGCTCTAGAACAAATATAATTTTGTTTATTCTGTGTCTCTAGGTCAATTAACTAAAAAGCTATTATTAGGGTATTCTTTAACTGTATATAACAGAAATATGTTATCTAAAAATGTTGAATTGGGTTGTTTCTTTTGTGTGGGAAGGGATTTTTTTTTTTTTTTTTGAGACAGAGCCTCAAGCTGTCCCCCTGGGTAGAGTGCTGTGGCATTACAGCTCACAGCAACCTCCAACTCCTGGGCTCAAGCGAGTCTCCTGCTTCAGCCTCCCAAGTAGCTGGGACCACACGTGCCCGCCACAACGCCCAGCTATTTTTTGGTCGCAGCCGTCATTGTTGTTTTGGTGGGTCCGGGCTGGGGATTCGAACCTGCCACCTTAGGTGTACGTGGCTTGGCACCTTAGCCGGTTGAGCTATAGGCGCCGAGCCAGAAGGGATTTTAAGAATTGCCCACTTGGTAGAGCTAGGTGACAATTAACTATTTTTTTTCTTTGACTGTGGAGGTAAAGATGTGGAAAGTTAAAAAAGAGGAAAGAAGGAAAGAAGAAAATCTTAAATTATGAAGATATAGTTCTTTCCCGGAATACTGCCAATATTCTAAATTTTTTATTAAATTTAATAAAATGAAAAATTGAATGTTAAAATAGCATATAAAATATTATTTTTCTACCTGACCCTATCTTTACCATGTGAATAGGAAATTTTAAAGTGAAAAGTTATGTATACTAATTCGCTGTTAAAATTTTTCTGTAGAGTTTATTTGTAAAATGTAAGAACAAGATTCTCCTCTCCTCTGTCTCTGGCGGGCATTTAAATCTTCATTTAAATCTTTCACAGGGAAAGATTCTCTGTGCCTTGTTGGCTGGTAGAGTGCTTTTTTTCTTTTTTAAAAAAATCTTTAATTCAATAGTCTTTCTGTTCTTAGTGTACTTTCCTCAAAATGAGTAGACACTGATGTTGTTACTCTTAATGAGCTTTCACTCATTTTCTCAGATTCATAAAGAAGCAAGTATTTGTTGAGTGCTTACTGCATTCTAGAAATTATAAAACATGTTGAGCATGGAGGTGAGTAAGATGTAGTTCCTGACCTCACGTAGTCTATATCTAATGTGAAAGGTAGACAAAATATTATATAAGAGGTAATTCTTGTATGGAAGAGAGCAGTGAACAGTGGAAATGGTAAATGGTAATTCTTTCACTATTCTATAGTGAAAGAAGGTTCCATAAAGAAGGCTTGTTTGAGCAGGGGTGAAAGGGATCAGTAGGGGTTGATCCTCAGGAGAAGAAATGGATGGCATTGCAGGCTGAAGAAATAGCAAGTAAGGCTTTTTGCATCATAGTGTTTAGATTTTAGAATATGGTAGATAAGTCATTATGATCAGATTGTGGTATGTGTGTGGAGAGAAATGCAGTGTTAATGGATAACGAAGTAAAATAAAAGGTACTTTAGAAACTTACATTTAGATGGGCCTAGCTTATAAATTGCCTATGCATTTAGGGGATCTTACTCTTTTCCTCATGAACCTCACAAGCATCATTGCAGAAGTCATAGTGTTTCTTTGGAGGCAAATAACTACCAGAAAGCTGTGTACTTTTTATACAACTAGATTTAGCCCAGTTAGGTTTTTTTAAAAAAGGACAACTATCAAAAGCTAGAATGCAATAAACAAGTCATTTAGACTTAGAGTCTCAGTATTGGGCATTTATAAAGAGCCAGAATGGAGGTTGAAAGACACTAAAGACAAATTCTTTGTTTTTCAAAATTTTGTTCTAGTTTTACATATCCAGAGAAAGGGAAGGAAATTCTTTTCATTGCTATATGTATTAGCTTCCTGCTTCCAGAACTTAGGACTTAGGCTCATACTATCAATATCGTAAGCCACTTACATTATTATAGTTAAAGGTGGTGTTGCAGGATAGCCAGGAAACTTGACTGCCTGTTTGTTTTTTATTTCCAAACATTAGATTGCCAGATTAATGAATTATCTCTTTATTAGTTGAGTGTAATTTTTGTTTGTTTTAACTTCCCCAAATTTTACTGACTTGGAAGTTTCTAGAACTGCCAGATTGTAACATGTTTTGGTTTCTGATGTCACTTTCTCATCTTCTCTGCCTTCTTTCTGCCCCTGTTTGTATTTCTGATTCTGGTGAGTCTGGCAAGCAGCAGGTGTTTCTGTTTTCTTTCTTTTATTTTTAGGATTAGAATTCCATGCGATGTAAATGTCTAAAATATTTGTGCTAGTCATACCTATAATTAATAGTCTGTTAAACTTTTTATAGGAATTATGGTATACATGGATAAAGAAGAGTTGGTAATGTGGACTTTCTAATAATTAAAATATACCTGTTTATATCTCTATATTTTTTCAGGCATTTAAGAAGAGACAAAATTAGCTCCATAACATTAACCAGATTTAGGCATACTGATAGTTAATCAGTGTGTTTTTGTGCACATATATTTCATTTTTGTTTCTTTCATACAATCTGCACTCTAGAAGGGATGAAGGAAGAAGGGCAGGCCGGGAATAAAGGCAAATATAGTTCTTTTGAGGAACTTAAGTATGCACTGGATACTGATTTTTAAAAGGCATTTTACTGCATATTCTATTTGACATACTCTTCATCATTTTGTGGTAAACCTTTATTTAGCTATTATTAATTTTATCTATTAAGTTTTCTTTTGAAAGGTAGGAATAGCTTCATTGAAGATAGCAAGGAAGAGACCTGTCTACCTTCCTAGCTAATTCTGTAGCAAGTCTGCAAGTCTCACTTCTCTAGAAGCTTTTCCTATTAATCTCATCCCTTCACTTTGTCTGTTAATTCATAAAAACTTGTTTCCAATGCTTCCTCATTTATCTTATATAAGCAAGTATGAGGTAATGATGAAAAAAGTAGTATCTTTTGAGTGTTAGTTACAAGGAAATATAAATGGTTAAACCTTATTTGCCGTTTGTATATCTTTAATTTCAGTTTATTGAGAGACTTAATGACTAACATACAACAGAAAATGTTAAAAGATTATGTGTGTATGTAAAGAGGACATTTATCAGATTAGATTTTAATTAAGAATGTCTTCATCCTTACCCTGTCCATTCTGCCCTGAGTTCATTTATTATTACCAGTCCCAGCATATGCACACCCATATTCCCTATGCTTATCTATAAAGGTTTTCCTAACTTGTTCTTATTTTCTACCGTCACTGTTGGTTCTGTCTTTTGTGATAAACACTGCTCGGAAGGCTGGCTTTGGCAAAAAATTATTATTGCTTTTGTATATAAAGTTTTTGTACATTTGGGTAGAACTAGTGGAATTATGGAGTAGTAGTAGAGAAAGTTTGACTTTTGTAATTAGAGATACTGAGCTTTAATATTGGTTCTTTGATTTACATGTTAAATGATGGATTTAGAGCAAGTTTTTAAATGTTCTAAATCTCAGTTTTCTCATAAAAGGAGGAAAATATTAACTATTATCACATTTGTGAAAATGAAACAAAAAGTATGGAAACTTCTCTGTAAGGTGTGTGCATGTAGTAGACACTTAGTAGTCATTATTTGCACTTTTCTTCTAGATACTTCTCTTAACAGTAATATTGGAGAACCGTTTTATGAGGGAGAGCTTAAGCAATATTTGCAAACTAGACATTCTGAGATCCTTAGAAAGTATGGGAATTTTAGACAACTGAAGCTGCACAAAATTATGTTTATTTTCTGTTGTGCTGTCATAAGACCAGCTAATTAGATTCTGTTTCTTAGCCCTACAACTCTCTTCTACCCTCTAAGCCTTTACATTATTCCTTATAAAATAATTATGAATTCTTCACAATTCTTCACCATTGACCATTTTTCCTCTTTAATATGGAACAAATAAAGTATAAAATGAGAGCATTTTTTTGGCCAGTCCTCTTTACCTGTCTTATTTTTCATATTAGCAAGTATGAAATTATTTAGCAAGGATGCGTATTATGTGCATATGTCATAATTAAATAAATTTTCTTTCTGGAAAAGCTTAATATATTAACTTATAACATGCTAAAAGGAAAAAAACTTGTTTTGAGTGGTAACATGAAAGTTGATTTATTTCAGGTCTGGCTAGTTAGAAACCAGTGGATTGCAATTTGTTTATGATTAGTTCAACCTTCATTCAGAGTTGTTTTTGAAACTCTATAAAGTAGAGGAACTACATAGATGTTTTTAGAGTTTCTAAATGTATAATACAAGTTCACAATCACTTATTTGAAACTCTTCGGGCCAGATATCTTTCAGTAGTCAGAATTTTTCAGTTTCAAAGTATATGTATTACATAAACACCACAGTGGGGTTTGGGACAGTATGTAGAATGAAATGGGTTCACTGAGTGCATTAATTTAAGACTATAGGCAGTCTCCTAATCTCAGATCAGGATCTGCTGCAGTTGAGTTTGCCATAAGCTTAGAAAATGTTAGGTGTTTTGAACTTTCAGAATTTTGAAATTGGTTAAGGAGCTTATGAACCTGTATTTGTTTTTAAAATGCTACATTTTTATTTTAAATAACTTTAAAATTTTTGTTTTCATTAGTAGTTGGAGTTGCTAGTATGCCTACTGACCACAGCTAATGTAGAACCTCTTTCTGTGCCTTTTAATGTTTATAAACATGGCCAGTTAATTATTAATAAGCCCGTGCACAATGACAAACATATGACTATTAAAAGGACAAATACTGGCGTATTTTAGTAATCCTAAGTAAGCATTTTACTATTCTGTACTGATTTTCTTTCATTACTTGCAGACTTTAATTAAAACTTGTAATCTGACAGATTATTGAAAAAGATGAACTTTAGCTTTCAAAAAGGAAATAGATCTGGTTTAAAATAATTATGTACAAGTAGATTAGCATCATTCAGTTCTCTTTACCTTTCTTTTACCCTTCTGCTTTTACTATTTTTAACATACATCTTTTTGAAGAATAGTTTGAGAATTGTATATGCTCAACTATGAGGTAAAGATAATACTGGAAATAGTTGTTTATAATTTCTTATGAAATGAAAAATGGATTCCTTAAAATAGCACTCAACCTAACAAAAAAAAAGAAAAGAAAAAATACATCCTAATAGCCTGCAAAATTTCATAGAAGAAATTTGAAGGTATGGATGCAGCTGGATTTGCAGTATTTCTTATTAATAGCATCATAGGTTTTTTCTTTTTAACATAAACTTTTAGTAGCTATATTGCAAGTTTTGTAAGCAAATGTATAGACTGTAATTGCATACGCTTAACCTTTTAAGACTCAGTTTCTTTAATTATAAAATGAGGCTAATAGTACTTCATAGAATTCTTGAGATTAAATGAAATAGTGAATATAAAAACCCTTAGCAAAATGCATAACACATTATAAAAGTTCAGGAAGTGTTTGTTTACGTTGATACTCCCCCCTCCAAGTACAAAAGGTAACGTTATATCACATTTAAACTTTTCTTTTAGATGTGCTGAAAGACATTATGACACCGCCAAATTTAACTGCAGAGGTAGGTATAAATGTGTTATAAAACTTAAAACCAATGGTCTGTATCTTACTGTCATAACAATAATGAATCCTGTAGATTATGGAGATACTTATCTTAAGAATGATCTTAGATAATTTGAAAAAATAAGTTTAATTTTGCTCTTGTACTTTTGGAACAAGAATCACATAAACCTGTTAATATTGTCAGGAAGATTAAAGTTCAGAACAGCAGTAATTCCTAGATTAACTGTAGAGTAAGGAGAGAGTTTATCTATTATTTGAGGCAGTTGGAGTAACAGTGAGTGATTATAGAGAGGAAGCAAAGCTGCTTAACTCTTACGTGTTGAGCAATGATATAAAAGTTGAGAAAGAAAACTACAAGAAATATGGATAAGAGGAGCTTGATAGATGAGAATAAGGATCTGCTTTATAAGAGCTTTACTCTAGGCATAAATAAATTCTATCTCAGAGCCTGCAGAAACTCCTATCTGTGGAACCCCTTAAAGCATGAGAGAATTAAAGAGTTGAGAATCTTGGCAGATGCTGCATGATAGACAAAAAGAGAATACAGGTGGATGTTTGCCATTGACCTCTCCTGAAAATCTAGAATGGACTTTCAAATGGATGTTTTAAGAATTTTAAGTCACTGATGATTGACATTGAATATAAATTAACTAAGAATGATTCTTTTTTGGTGGATTTAGGCTATTGCTTACAAGGCAAAACATGCTTTCATTGAGGTTTATCTACCTTTAAATAGATGTGTAGCAGACTTTCATGAATGTTTTTGTGTGCCACTGGCAAAATGAAGAGGGAATGATGGTACTGTTTGTTAGATACTAAATGAAAGCTGTCCTGCTGACTACCTACAATGGTAGTTGTCTACCTGAAGAACTTTTCTGTCACACCAAAGGACTTGACTGTATTTTGTACCATGTTATGTGTGACTTCAGGATATAAGACATACTTTTCACATATTTAGGAATAATAATTAATTAGTACATTAGTTATTTTTAAGGATCTTAATAAGGTGCAGCCAACATGGATACTAAGAAAATTTAATGGTGATATAGCTGAAATCCTATTTTTAGACACGTTTTTAAAAACCTCAACTCTGACTATAGAAACAGAAGTCTTAGATTCTTAATAATTCATGTGAAAAGACCTGAAACTTCATTTGAAAAACTTTATCACGATTTTATACTTTTTATAAGTAATTTTTTCCATTGTCATTTGTAAATGCCTTTAAAGTCATATGTATATATATAACACTAACATTTGCAGGACTACTTTTAAGTAGCACATTTAGCATTTTTATTTTATGGTATGTGAAATGCAAGTCTTCCTATAGTTGAGTTTATTAGTAATTTATAGTTTCTTTGGAATATGTTTTGTGATTATGCAGTATTATAAATATCATTATTCTTTTTGTTAGAAAATGCATTGAGAGCCCTGACAAAAGGACCGTGTGACATTTCTTTTTGAGTTTAGCTCTATTTCTAATATGTTTTGACCTGTGTTACCTCTCTGGATAGTATAAATTCCCAAAATTTATGCTCCTACATAAAGTATAGAAGTAATACTTGACTTTCCTGTCTAATGAATATATTTAAAAGTTAGTGAGAAGTAGTATTCTGTATTCAAAAGTTAGAACACTAACAGGCAATATATTATTTTTCTCTGAAAGCTAGTTTTTAAATACATTTGTTAAGTTAATTTGCAACATTTCTAAAGTTAACTTTTAATTAAAAATTCAGGAGAGATTTTTTTTTCTTATTCTGAGGTTATCTTTTTACCACAGTTGCACAGTATCCTTTTGAAGACCATAACCCACCACAGCTAGAACTTATCAAACCCTTTTGTGAAGATCTTGACCAATGGCTAAGTGAAGATGACAATCATGTGGCAGCAATTCACTGTAAAGCTGGAAAGGGACGAACTGGTGTAATGATTTGTGCATATTTATTACATCGGGGCAAATTTTTAAAGGCACAAGAGGCCCTAGATTTCTATGGGGAAGTAAGGACCAGAGACAAAAAGGTAAGTTATATTTGATATTTTTCCTTTCCTTTTTCTAAATCTAAGTTTTGTTGGAAAAGAGATTTTGGTATTGTTTTTTCTTCAGCTTTATTGAAGTATATAATTGACAAAAATTATATATATTTATAGTATATACTGTGATGTTTTGATATATCAATAAATTGTGAAATGATTACCACAATCAAGCTACTTAACCTGTCACCTCACATAGATGTTCTCACCTCTCCTGTTCCTGTGGCAAGAACATTTAAGACCTCTCTTCAGCTTTCAAGTGCAATAAAAACATTATTATTAACTATAGATCTAGTAGATCTCCAGATCTCACTCATCTAACTGAAACTTTATACCATTTGAACATTTCCCTATTTTCCCACCAGTTCCTGGAAAACAGATTTCAAAAAGATAATTAATAATCATTTATTTCTTCTAAATTTTTTAATCCCTAAATTTTTATAGGGGCAAACAAGTGATTTGATTCCATTTTTCTGTTCATGCTACCATTTTCATATCATGCTAGCAAATCTTGTCCATTAACCTTATTACAAATTTAGTCTTATAAAATCCTTCTAAAATAGCATTTTAAAAAGCATATTGATCAGAAAATGAGCTTTATATTTATGAAGCTTGCTTGACAATTGAATGCCTTTGGATAATAATTCAAATGCCATTACCTAGTAAATACAGTATGGTCCTATTATAATACATAAACATTTTTCTACAATATGAATATTCATAAATGTTCAAAATAGATTAATCAAAAATTCTCTCACTATTCATAAAATACAGACTATATTGAAAATTAGTGACAAATTTAATTTGTGCAGTATTTGAAAGCAAGAACCAAACTCTTGTGAGAACTTTCACAGTGATTTTTCAAGGGATCTATTTCTTTGATATTAAGTATTGCTAATCATGTTAACATTTAATACAAAGAGATTTGGTACATTTCTCCCATTTCTGAGAAGGACAAACTGAAACCACTCTAAGTAGGTGGAACTCATTTACAGAGTTCTAGGGAGGAAGACATCATCACTTTTTTTTTTTTGAGACAGAGTCTTAAACTGTCACCCTAGCATCTTAGCTCACAGCAACCTCCCACTCTTGAGCTCAAGCGATCCCTTGCCTCAGATTTTCTATTTTTAGTAGAAACGGTGTCTCACTTTTGCTCAGGGTGGTTGTGAACTTAGGAGCTTAAGCAATCTTCCCGCCTCGGCCTCCCAGAGTGGTAGGATTACAGGCATAAGCCACTGCACCTAGCCATGACATCATATTTTATGTGAAAAATTTATTCTATTTTTAATAGTTTTTATAATCAGGGAGGTTCTCTAAAAGATTAAGCTAATTCTTAATTCAGCTTCAGAAATGGAAGTGATCATATACATCATTTTAAGGTGTGTAATTATGTTGGTTCCTTGTTCCTTTACCTTTTCCTCATTTCTTATTTTCTAGCCCTTTGTCTTTGTAACTTTTTTGAATTAAATATAAGGATGCCAATATGGTTTTAGTTTATAAAATTAATCTTATATTATTGTGTAATTTTGGTAAATGTTGAAAATTATGGTAGATTGGCTTACATTTCTGCATACTGTTTATAGCCTGGTATGATTGCACTAGAATGAATTATAGAACTGAGGATCTGAAGATGTTTACTTTGGTTTATGCTGTTCATCATCTGGAGGGAAACAATTGCTTTTACTGATTAAAAGTATAGAAAGTAAATTGTCCTACGTGCAAGTGAATAAATGCAGGGCAGCACTGGGAAAGTAGATTGATGGGAAGAAAAACAGAGAAATGGATAAAATTAAAATGCAATAGCAAAGGTAGTAGTAGAAATTTAAATCAGGGCTGATGAGCAGCAGACATTTTGGTAGTTAGAAATTAGTCAAAAAAATTTTTTTACTAAAATAGAAAAGGTTATCTAATACAGAGTGAGAATACTTGATTTAACATCTTCATGTTATAAGTTTAAAAATATGATGAAAAGGCCAGGCACAGTGGCTCATGCCTCTTATCCCAGTGCTTTTTGGAGACCCAGGCCAGAAAATTACTTGAGGCCGGGAGTTCAAGACCTGCCTGGGCAACATAGTGAGACCTTGTCTCTGCAAAAAATTTTAAAATTGTCCAGACACGTTGGTATGTGCCTATAGTCCTAGTTACTTGGGAGGGTGAGGAGTATCATTTGAGCCCAGGAATTTGAAGTTACATTGAGCTGTGATTATGCCACTGCACTCCAGCCAGGGCAAGAGCAAGACCTTGTCTCTTAAAAAAAAAATGGTAAAAGCTATAAATGTTCTTCCAGATATACATGGTGTACATAAACAACATTTTGCTTATAATATTTATTATACTGAAACTTACCTTTTAAAGCATAGAATGTAATAAGAATCTTCATAAGAATTATGTCACACTTTTTCCAGGCAAAAACCAGTGCCCACTACTTGAAAGCAATGAATAAATCTAAGTGATACAAATTAACCAAAGTTAAGCTTTTAGTTCTGCTCAATAGTATATTTTAATGAAAGAATTACCAATATTTAACTTTTAAAATAACAAGTTGAAACTACACCATTGGTTTTGATTTTGCAAATTTTTATGTCCTCTTTGATATCAATTTTGACTTTGGTTTTAGTGAAAATGAAACCTGAAAACTCTAATTCATGAAAGTATAAATGGAATCTGTACATTCTTTTGCCCTGTGAAAGTAGGCTTGTGTCATCAAATAAGAATTCTCTTAAGACTTTTCAGATAGGCTCGGTGCCTGTAGCTCAGTGGCTAAGGTACCAGCCACATACACTGGAGCTGGCGGGTTCAAACCCAGCCCAGGCCTGCCAAACAACAATGACAACTACAACCAAAAAATAGCCGGGCGTTGTGACGGGGGCCTATAGTCCCAGCTACTTGGGAGGCTGAGGTAAGAGAATTGCTTGAGCCCAGGAGTTTGAGGTTGCTATGAGCTATGATGCCATGGAACTCTACCCAGGGTGACATAGTGAGACTCTGCTCACACATAAACACACACACACACACACACGACTTTTCAGATAAATTCATATTGCATCATTTTCTTTGCCTTTAAGTTAATGAAATCATTTTTGGCAAGATCCATATCATTGGTGATGTTAGGAAAGAAAGGATTATGACTCCACATTTTAGTTTAATGTTGAAGAGTTAAACTCTTCACACTTGATCTTAGCCAAAAGGCCAAGAAGCAATTGAAGAGTTATACTCTCTAAAAAGAGTTTGTATTTTATCCATTGAACCAGCAGTATTGGGCTATAGAGTATGTTTTCTGAAAGCCAGTGAACTTCTATGTAGCAAAGAATTTCATAGTTGCTCTCATTTCTTAACAAAACCTCTTGAGAAGTCCTTGATTGAACATCTTGGCTCTCATAAATTTGGCAACTTCACAACAGTAGACTTTTTTTAAAAAAAAAATAACAAATCCTCTTACACAGGCTGTAATTCAAGACTTGGCATTCCTAAGGGAGAATACTTTGACAACAGATAAGATTCCTTTCAGGATTGATAATAGAGACTTGCACCCACTGCATACTAATGAAGAAAGGGGTGGGCAACAAAACCATGGAGAGCTTTTATCTCTGCCTGTATCCCAAACCACCCATGTCTTACCTGACATTAAGGTGTACTATCTGTAGACTACTGAGGTTTCTTCAGAAGTGTTTTTGGCAAAGAAGAACTTTTTACCATTTTAGCATTTTGAAAATGTCAGTGTTCCGTGAAGTTTCTGAAACGGACTCCAAAATAAGAATTATTCTGGCTGGGCATGGTGACTCACGCCTGTAATCCCAACACTTTGTGAGGCTGAGTTGGGCGGATTGCCTGAGCTCACAAGTTCGAGACCAGCCTGAACAAGAGCGAGACCTCCCCCAGCTAAAAATAGCTGGGTGTTGTAGTGGATGCCTGTAGTCCCAGCCACTTAGGAAACTGAGGCAAGAGAATCACTTGAGCCCAAGAGTTTGAGGTTGCTATGAGCTATCAGGCCATGGCAGTCTACCAAGGGCAACCAATTGAGACTCTGTCTCAAAAAATAAAAAAATGAATTATTCTTGGTGTCACATACATGTATTTGATGAAAATTAGTCGCTGGCTAAACTGAGAAGTCATACATGGAAAGGAATGGTGTTTTCGATCTTTTCATGACCTCCTTCAGTGTTTTTTTAATTTTTTATGTCTTTTTAGAATGGATGAAAGTATTTGATAGAATTACTATACCTGTCTTACTTTTCTCTTCCAAGCTACAAATATGTCTGACTGTTACTGAAATACTTGGCCTTCACCATGGGTTTGACTGTATGATACTGTCGTTTGGCATTATAGTCAGATAGTCATATAGGGTGCTTTATGAAGGATTTTGAGTTGGGGCAAATAAAGGTTTTCATAATGGTCTAGGCTTTTTTAACTAAGCTGTACTCTCACATATTCTCTCTTTTTTCCCTGTCTCCTTTTTATACACTTACCCACACTCTGATATAAAGTAGTTAGCTATATGCTGTGCTTATAGCGAGGACTTGCCATATGAGAAACACTTAGGATATTCCATCTCATCATGTTCAGAAATGAAAGGAAAGCCCAAGGATACTTAAAATTCATTATATTTTATTTTCCCTGTTACCAGTTCAAGTTAGATCCAAGAGTAGTCTCTATAATCAAAAATGATGGCATATTTTAATTTGTCAGTGGGAAGATACCTAGTTGTCACAATCTGGTAATATTGTGAATTTACTTCTAAAGAAGAGGAGAGAATATTTGATAAAATGGCAGGTTTTATGAGATATTGTTATAAAATAGGGCCAGAGTGAAAAGATAGCAGAAGTATTTATGAAAATAAAATATAAAGCCTATTGCATCATGTGGTAAAATACAACAGTACCTACAACATCAGTAGAGCTGCTCTAGGTAGGCACTGTGTATTCTCCATCCTCTTGATAGGTTAGAATCTCCCAAGTGGAAGGTAATGTACTAAAAGAAGTAAAAAATGG